TGTGTGTGTGTGTGTGTGTGACAATCCCAAAGATAATTATTCAGCAGGGAAACCAAGCCTGAAGCCGGAGCCGCAAGTTTTATTCCTATATGCCCTGAGATGATGAATTCACATTTGGAGTTTGCATCCCAGAGGATCCTCCTCTTTCACCTAGATACAACCCTGAAGTCACAAGTCAAAACTCAAACCCAAACGCACTGTCTTTGAATTGCTTCAGACTCATGGTCATACTCCATCAAGTTCCCGAGGCTGTAAATCCTTGTGGGAGGGGACAGTCCTATCTTCCTCCTGTGGAGAAGCAGATGGATTTGAACCACCAGTTTCTCTGTTAGCAGCTTGATATGGTATGCATTACATCATCACGGTACTCCAAAGCAGCAAGACATGCAATAAATAACACCATCACTTGGAGCTTTTGTCTAGTTAGTTTATTATAATATTCATAAGTATCCAAATTGATCAACTTGAATCTGATTATGGGATCATGGTACAGAAGAAAGAGTGTTGATCTGGAAGATAGCCTAGCTGTGTAGCAAACCTGCTTCTGCTGTGTGACAGGGAGTGTCCGAGTTTAGGAGAATAGAAACAAAATTGACAGTAAGAAGGAGAGGAAAAGACAAGAGGTTAGGCAGCATCTGGTCTACTGAACATCACATTCAATGCACAATAAACACTTGTCGGATGATAAGTGCAGCAAGAAAGAGTTTTGGATCTAATTTTCCAAACTAAGGACTTGTTCTTTTATTTGGATCCACAATAAGCTTTTGAAGGATTTGTGCAAGGAGAATGACGCAACCATAGTGATGCCTCCAAATGAAGAGTCTTTTGGTTACTCTGTGAGGGGGGAAATTGGCAGGGAGAGAGGCTGGAATAAAGAGCACAATTAGGAGGAGATTGTACATCTCTGCTGCTGCTAACAGTAGGCTGAATGATTGGACTAACTGTCCAAAGGAGACCAACAAAATAAACTGAATACAAAATCATCTTTCTAAACAGCTAGGAAACAATGGGCTAACATCTAGATGAAGACAAGAACTCAGAGAAGGGAAACCTGCCTTTGCCCTGAGGGCATTTTCTGAATTTGAGAGAAAGAGTTAGGAACCAAATTGTGGTTTTAGTTACACCAGGGACAAGAGGGATAAATGTTGCTTCCCAGGGTCCAAACAACAAGTGAAGAGAGATTATTTAATTGGCAAATAAATCATAGGAAACTGTTTAGGATTCTGCTAAAAGAAATGGATTATATAGGAAAAAAAAGAAAAGGAGGCCAATGAACAGTGAGAAAGTGTAACCCACATTTAACTGAAGACCTATAAGGAGTAGAAACGTGGAAGATGATGACTGAAACATTTTCTGAAGACATGAAATACATTAACGTACGCAGTGAAGAAAGGAGTCCTGGCGGTGAGTGGTTAGTGTGGCAGCCTGCAGTTTGTAGCTACATGTTACCGATAGAAATCTACTGGAAAGCACTGGTTTTGGGATACATTCAAGAAGCCCAGTGAATCCTAGGAAGGCTAAAGAAAAAGAAAAACCTTTCTAGACATATCATAGTGAAAGTGCAGAAAACCAGAGACAAAGAAGACTAGGTAATGGTCCATGTTAGATCCTGATCACAGGCAGGAGCAGTAGACATTGAGTTAAAGAGACAGGACTAAGATTCTGGCATTGACAATGCTTTGAATTCAGTCCCATGAAAGACTATTTCATAAACATACTCCCTAGTTCATTCCTAACTAGTAAAGCATATTTGCTAGGAACAGATCTCAGAGCGACCTGAGACCTAGGATACTTTCCCATGCATAGAGGGCCACAGCCCCCAAATCGTGGCACTGAAATGGCTGCTGCAATTGAGCTCTGAAGCTGCAGAATGTGCTCAGATATGGCTCTAAGAGAAAGTAGGATGGAAGTGAAGTTCTGTAGAAGTGCTTCCCTAAATCCTCTCCACACAACACATAACTTTAACTCTTCTCCTAGAGAAAAGTATACAAAGCCAGCATTTCTGCTGGTTCCTGGGGTATTTTATTACAACCTTCATGCTTGGCCATATGCACTTCCTTCCTTCCTGGACTGACTGATGCCTGACGGATTCCTGCAAGAGTTGATATTTGTAACAGATTGGGTTTAAAATGTCTCTTACTTGTTGCTTAGCTGTTCTTGCAATGAGAACTAGGCCCCTATGGAGAGTCAAAGAGGTGCCAAGTGATTTTAGTAAAAATCCTACACACACTGCTTCTGTTTAAGGATAAACATGTGGCTCGGACAGACAGCTTCTTTCATTGCTTTCTTCCCCTCTGTCTTTCTTTTTCCTTCTTTCCTTCCTTCCTTCCCTCCCTCCGTCCTTCTTTCCCTCCTTCCTTCCTTCCTTCTTTCCCTCCTTCCTTCCTTCCCTCCATCTTTCTAGAGAGAAAGAAAGCCTTCTCTAGTGTGTATCTCCAAGCCAATCAGAAATTTGTCTCACAGGAGATAAATTAATTAGAAGAAAGTATTGCTTTTCTTGGGATTATGAGTCTGCAGGATTTCTCTTCATTTTTATGAAATTTTTATGTTCACAAATTTTTTTAGGTCTCAAATCTTTCCATAAAGCCTTCGGAAACCAGCACTTTAACACTTATAGAATATTTTTGAAGTATCTCTGTCCCTTAACACGGTTGTAACATGTTGTTAGTTGCCGACTCCAACTCAGTGATTTTATGTATAACATAAGACCCTGTTCTCACCTTCAAAATCAGGCTGCAGCACTATAAAGCGTATTTGACAATGAACCTAAACATTCATATTGGAATCCTCATACTAGCTGCATAAGCACATCACTGATTTTGGCTTCTCATCTAAAATATGAGAGTGGTAACAAGGCCTACTTGTTTCTAATAGAGGGAAATCTGTGTCTGCCCGGTTGTCTTGCTCTAGCGGTCAGTCAGGCTTCTCGTTTTGGTCATCGGAAGAGTAGCTTGCTACTACCACTTTGCGCCAGCAGGGGTCCTCAGCTCTCTTGATCCTATTATTGAACGAACCTTTCTATTTCTCTAGTTGTTCCCTAAATGCAAACAAGTCAGGATGACATTTATTTGGGGAGAGGGGGAAACGGAGTAGGGGATGTATCTTTGTCAGAAGCTCAGTGAAATAGAAGAAAACAACAAGGAGCCTCCTCCTTAACGGAGGAGAGTTGAGTACTTAGATGGACTTCACTTTCCCCCCTTTTGCTATCATTAGCTATTCTGTCACTTACCAGTGCAGTTGATGACTGGTTCCTGGATACCTTCTGGCCTGTTCTTGTTTTGGAGTGTGAGGTGAAGAATAGAGGGCATTAGAAAATGATGACTGTCGTCCTTGGAGCTGAGCAGGATGCACATATGAAGCCCCCGAGGAGAAGGACTGGGCGTCAGGGAGACTTAGAACGATTCTCAATGTCTTCTTATTCCACATCTATCTTGGTCCTAATGAAAGATCAGTCGTGATTTATAGGTAGCCTAAATA